GAAAAATGGGAAAAATAATGGGGGAAATGGGAAAAAAATATGGGGAAAAATAGTGGGGAAATGGGAAAAAAATATGGGGAAAAATGTGGGGAAATGGGGGAAAAATATGGGGAAAATATGGGGAAATAATGGGGAAAAATGGGGGATAAAATGGGAAAAGAAGCGGCTCCTTCAGGTGCCGGATGGTGGAGGAGCCGTGGAAACACGGCAGCTGGGAGCCTGGGAAATGGGGGAAAATAGTGGGGAAATGGGAAAAAAATATGGGGAAATAATGGGAAAAATATGGGGAAAAATATGGGGAAATGGGGGAAAAATATGGGGAAGATATGGGGAAAATATGGGGAAAATATGGGGAAATAATGGGGGAAAAATGGGAAAAATATGGGGGAAATAGTGAGGAAATGGGAAAAAAATATGGGGAAAATAGTGGGGAAATGGGGGAAAAATATGGGGAAAAAATACGGGGAAATAGTGGGGAAATGGGAAAAAATAATGGGGAAAAATATGGGGAAAATATGGGGAAATAATGGGGGAAAAATGGGAAAAATATGGGGAAATAGTGAGGAAATGGGAAAAAATAATGGGGAAAAATATGGGGAAAATATGGGGAAATAATGGGGGAAAAATGGAAAAAATATGGGGGAAACAGTGAGGAAATGGGAAAAAAATATGGGGAAAAATATGGGGAAATGGGGGGAAAATATGGGAAAAATGGGGGGAAATAGTGGGGAAATGGGAAAAAAAATGGGGGAAAAAATGGGGAAAATGGGGGATAAAATGGGAAAAGAAGCGGCTCCTTCAGGTGCCGGATGGTGGAGGAGCCGTGGAAACACGGCAGCTGGGAGCCTGGGAAATGGGGGAAAATAGTGGGAAAATGGGAAAAAATATGGGGAAAAATATGGGGAAAAATGGGGAAATAATGGGGGAAAATAGTGGGGAAATGGGGGAAAAATATGGGGAAAAAATATGGGGAAATGGGAAAAAAATATGGGAAAATAGTGGGGAAATGGGAAAAAATAATGGGGAAAATATGGGGAAATAATGGGGGAAAAATGGGAAAAATATGGGGAAATAATGGGAAAAATATGGGGAGAATATGGGGAAATAATGGGAAAAATATGGGGAGAATATGGGGAAATAACGGGAAAAATATGGGGGAAAATAGTGGGGAAATGGGAAAAAATAATGGGAAAATAGTGGGGAAATGGGGGGAAAAATAATGGGAAAAGAAGCGGCTCCTTCAGGTGGCGGATGGTGGAGGAGCCGTGGAAACACGGCAGCTGGGAGCCTGGGAAATGGGAAAAAAATATGGGGAAATGGGAAAAAAATATGGGGAAAAATATGGGGTAAATATGGGGAAAAATATGGGGAAAATATGGGGAAAATATGGGGAAATAATGGGGGAAAAATGGGAAAAATATGGGGAAAAATATGGGGAAATGGGAAAAAAATATGGGGAAAAATAGTGGGGAAATGGGAAAAAAATATGGGGAAAAATAGTGGGGAAATGGGGGGAAAATAGTGGGGAAATAATGGGGAAAATATGGGGGAAATGGGAAGAAAAATGGGGGAAAAAATATGGGAAAAATGGGAAAAATAATGGGGGAAATGGGAAAAAAATATGGGGAAAAATAGTGGGGAAATGGGAAAAAATAATGGGGAAAAATATGGGGAAATGGGAAAAAAATATGGGGAAAAATATGGGGAAAAATATGGGGAAAATATGGGGAAATTAATGAGAAAAATGGGGGATAAAATGGGAAAGAAGCGGCTCCTTCAGGTGCCGGATGGTGGAGGAG